CCTCCAAGAATTGCAGCAAAGTCCTTTTTCCCCAGATAGCTGGAAGCTATAGGGGTTCTATACTTCTCAAAGGTGAGGTCTTCGGTGGCGGACTTTGGGGCGAAGTCTGGCAAAGGTGCTGTGCAGGGTGCTGTGCAGGCTGCTGTGGGTGCTGTGAGTGCGGTGGCAAAGTCTGGCAAAGGTGCTGTGCTGTGGTCCTGCGCATGGTGGTGTGCAGGCTGGTGTGCAGGCTGGTGTTCAGACTGCGGTGGCGAGGTCTGGCAAAGGTGCTGTGCAGGGTGCTGCGCAGGCCTGCTGTGAGGCTGCTGAGTCTGGCAGAGGTGCTGTGCTGTCCAGGGTGTTGTACAGGTTGTGGCTGGCTGCTGTTCGCAGCGGCGGCAAAGTCTGGGAAACGTGCTGTGCAGCGTGCTGCAGGCTGGCGAGGTCTGGCAAAGGCTATGCAGCAGGCTGCTGGCTGCGCGAGGGAACTGTTCACAGAAATTTTCAAAGGTGCTGCAGGGGGGACGAAGTCTGGCATGGTGGTGTGCTGTGCAGGCTGCTGTCCAGAGAAGTCTGGCAAAGGTGCTGTGCAGGGTGCTGTGCAGGCTGCTGGCCAGAGCGTGGTGGCGCGGGGTACCGTGCAGGGTTGCTGGGTGCAGGGTGCTGGACAGTGCAGTGGCGAACTCTGGGAAAGGGGCTGCTGTGTAGGCTGCTGCCCAGGAGTGCGGTGGCGAGGTTTGGCAAAGGTGCTGTGCACGCTGCTATCCAGGGTGCGGTGGGAGGCACTGTCCGCAGGGTACTGTGCAGGCTGCTGTCCACAGTGTACTGTGCAGGCTGCTGTCCACAGTGCGAAGCCACTGCATTGCAAAGGATTATGTTGGGCACGACTTACTTATATTTAGCTGTATTTTTGTATTTTTTGGGGGGGGCCGTCAACGAGAAATCCAACAAAAAGGAAGAGGTGCAAACGAGAATAACAAATATCTTTCAGGTCTTTCTTCCTTGAGCTTTACCGCAACATAACCAGAGGGGCTTCACAATAAACAACCTTGAAGTAGAATGTAAAAGACCAACGCAAACTTAAGACTGCAACTTAGTCGCGACAAAGATATGCGACACAGTGCTCAACACCAACTTTGAGAAAAATATCTCAAGAACCGTGGCCACGCTTTTTCCCCCGGTAGCAGACGAGTTTTGCAAATATCTTTTTGCGTTTTGATTGAAGCAATTGGGTTAAAAACTGAAACAGACCTGTTGATGGCCAAACCAGCCACCATCCAACAAATCCGACACAGACCTTGGCTGAAACAGCCACGGTTGGAATACCAAGCCGACTGCAGCTTTGGCAAAGTCATCTTTGGCCCCTCTTTCTTAATATGCAACATGGGCGGCCCACGAGATCCCCACGTGCTGCACTTCAACTTGCGGTGCTTCTGAAACCGCTTTTCGAGCCCCAAAGTTCCAACTGTCCGTATTTGGACTAAGCGCAGATCTCTTTTAGCTTGCTTGATTTAAAGGGTCCTTAGCACTACAGAGTGCACAGCTGGCTGATTCTGAGTCAGCTTTCTTGGGCTGAAACAGCTGCAGAAGGAAATGCCTTGAAATTGAAATGTGTGAGTTTTTTTCAATCTTCGTTGCACCTGTTATAAATCAACTGCTGTTTGCTGAACTGAGTCTACAGGGTGTCTGCAGCTGCCGCAACGCATGTTTATCCACTTTTCCACTTCATTTTTTGCATCTCACATCCGATTTTGAAGACAGCACCCCGCCGCAGTCTATGTGGCTAAGATCCGGCCCTTTCCAGCTGATCTGACATTGGTCGATGCCGTGGTGGCATACTTGTGGCCAAAGCAGCCACCAAAAGCCGAAGCAGCTAAGTGGCCGAAGCAGCTTCAGCTACAGTAGCCGAGACAGTTGCCGCCTCTTTGGCGTAGAGATGGTGTGGCCAGTTTTCAGCCACAAGCTTCCGTGAAGTGCATGAGCCGAGGCTCCTGAAGCGAAGCGGATCTCAGGCATGCTCCTAAGGAGAGGACAATTCGTCCTGTCCTTAGGAGGTTTCAAGGACGTCCCCGAGGCTCCTAAGGAGAGGACACCAATGGGACAAAGGCCTTTGAAAAACTCATACTTAAGAGTATTCCAGTTTCGTCCCCTTGTCGTCCTCCCCTTAGGAGGTTCAAGGACAACCCTGAAGCTCCTAAGGAGAGGACATTCCCACCCGTTGATTCGAGGTCCGTTGATTTTTTTTTGATGCTCCTAAGGAGAGGACAAAAAACACATATTAAGTAGCCAAGACTGTCTCCAAATCAAAGCTTTCCTTGAATCTCCCAATATTTGTGGGTAATCGTCTCTTAGATTCAACCCATTGGTAGATTCGACCAGAAACCCAAAGTCTTTACCCTGACGCTTCAACCCACCCCAGCCAATTCCTATTTTTGCGAAAAGTCCATCGCGACCTGCTATGTACAAAAACTGACTAAGTATGTAACGCAGATTCAAAGTGAGAAGTCGGAACAGCGTCAAAACAAGCCAAAGCAGCTTTGACAGCCGGAAGCAGCTTGCCTGATGCTGCAAGGGCTTGGCTGAAACAGCTACCGCTAATGCGGAAGCAGCCTCACTTGAGGTCAAAGTTTGAAAACACTTCGCAAGCAGGAGCCGAGTCTGAAGGGCCGAAACAGCCCTCCTCGCTGCGTGGACATGCTGAGCCGAAGCAGCCGAACAGCCACCGCCCTCCTGAAGCTCCAGAGCCCGCCTTTGTCCTTTGATGCTTTTGGATTTTTTTTTGCATGTGAATGGGCTTTGTGATTTCATTGTTTGCTCAGACGCTTGTCAATCCGCTTTGGCTAGAACCCTGCAGTCAACACCCCATGGCGTGCGCAACCAAGTTCCCAGCTCTGGGTGATGACACGAAATACGGAACTGTGAGCCCCATGTCAAGCACAAGACATGCCACTTGGATCGAAGCCATCTGCCATTGCAAAAGCAGCAATGCTGCTGTTGTGTTTGACAGCTACTGACCCAAATTGCAAACGAGAAATAAAAATAAATCAGCAAATTTCAAATACCTCTTCAGCTGCCTCGACGAGAAAAATTGAAAGAGCCCATGGAAAGTGAAAAAAAGTGTACGAATATGTATGAAATTTGTAAAGGAAAGGACCAAGGAAACAAACAACATGTTCCGTACATGTCTTGGATGTCACAAGTTAGGGTTGCAAAGGGTATTCCAAATCAGCCATTGTTGAAGCAAACGAGATTCTCAAATAGCTTAGCCAAACACAAAAAAATACAAAAAAATATCTCAGGCCAAAAAAAAATACAAAAATGCGGCTAAATATAAGTAAGACGAAATTCGATTGTGCACTGCAGATCACTGCAGAGCTTCTTGAAGCTTCAACGTTGACATGCGATAGGGATGAAATCAGTTCTGGCGGGAAGCATTGGTTCCAACGTTTGGGAACGAGCAGTTCCTCGAACCTGGAACATGTGCTCCCAAGATTGGGAAGCATTGGTTCCCTTGTTTGGGAACTGCTAGTTCCTAGAACTGGGAGCCCGTGGTTCCAAGATTGGGAAGCATTGGTTCGAACATTTGGGAACCAGCTCTTCGAACTGGGAAAGATTGGAAAGCATTCGTTCGAACGTTTGGGAACTGCTATCCTAGAACTGGGAACCCGTGGTTCCAAGATTGGGAAGCATTGGCTCGAACGTTTGGGAACTAGCAGTTTCTTGAACGGGGAACCCGTGGTTCTAAGATTGGGACGCATTGGTTCCAACGTTTGGGAACCAGCAGTTCCGCTGTTGTCGCAACCAATTCGCACGGCAAAAAAAGGCGTTTCTGAAACCTTTTCTATCTGGGGTCTATGCCGGTGCAATTTTTGGGAGATTTTAATACATCCAGTGCCGTATTTTCTAGGGAGTATTTAGTATTTGTCTGGTTGGTGGTTGACCTACCCCTCTGAAAAATATGAAAGTCAGTTGGGGCTATTATTCCCAACAGACGGGAAAATATAAAATGTTCCAACCCCCCAGCCAGTTTAATCAGTTTAGCATTTGTTTTGTGAACGATGAATTGTCGAGTTTTGGCCCATCACTGCTTCGGCCTTCTTTGATCTTAACTTAGGATGGTGTTCCGGAGATAATGCTATTGTTTCTCAAGCCTCCCTTCTAGCTCTGCCCTAAATATGTGGATATATAGATATATACATACGTATGTATAGAGAGATATTTATATATATATATTGTATATATATGTGTGTGTGTGTATGTATACGCTTGTGTATATGTAGACAGAGCTAATTCAATTTATCAAGTTCAAGATGACTGAGCCCCAAACGAGAACCAACAAGGTTTCTCCATTCCATTTGCCCAGCAGAAATCAAAGTTGCACCCCACAGACACATCGAATCAAGCGTATCGGCGTATCGTTCTCAAACTTATGAAGGCACAAATCACCAAAATGCTCCACATTCATAAGTTGCAAACCCATATCCGTTTCAATGCGGAGAGTGAAAAGTACTGTAACAAACATCGCATGCGTTTTTGCAACAAACCACACAGGTCCTACGACCGACCCAACTAAATCCTGGTGATATTTATGTCAAGTATGTAGCTCCACAAAAGTCCCATGCAAGTGCTGCAAGTAGCCTGCAAAAGTGATCCTGAGCAGGTGCTGGAGACTGTCTAGGCATGTCTAGGCATGACTTGTCCACTGACTAAGTGGGATGCTCATGGTAGCGGGAAAAAACATGGCTGCATCATTCATGGGTGAGGGAAAATCCACTCACCTGCGAAACCTTAAAATTGCCTGGCTGCCACCGTTGGATCGGGGGTCCCGGTATTACAAGGCAGCCGTGAGGTATCATATGGTAACTATGTCTATACTGTTGCCTCGAATTGGTCATAAGGTGTCATAAGTTTGGAACAAGATAGGAAGCAACGCTTCCCGCATACGATCCCGAACTTGAAAGAAATTCATCCTCATGTTGCTAAATCACAAAAATCAGTTGTATATCAATCTCTCGTATCATCTAGTCATAGTCATCCCAAGTGACCTTCATAAACCACTCCTGGGGACGGTGGATCCCTATCGCCCTGGTGGCAGCTGAGGGGCTCATAGAGGGTGTACAAAGCCTTGGCCGGGCTCCGAGTGCCGGGGGCCCAGTGGATCACCATAGACCCTGAATACATCTTACCTGGTAATTTAACATAGCTATGGCCCATAGAAATAGTTGATTTACCCAGCTACAAAAAGGTGATGTTCCATAGTTATGTGGCTGTTTACCAGAGGTTAATAATCTTACTATTCATTTAGAAAAATGTGATTGAAAAGTCTCGAAAAGTTCCACTACGTTCCACTTCTTTGTTTTGAACCTCGTGTATGAAACCGAACTTGCGACTCCAAAGTCAATCACTGCAGGCGTTTTTAGAAAACTGGTTGATTGAGAGGGCAAACACTGGAAAATCAATGATGAAACGACATTGTACCATGTATAACCATGTATAATCAGTTGTATACCATGTATAACCCCCTATATTTCAACGGTAAAAAAACATGGTTATACCATGTTCAAGATGTCTGAAAGACTCCTTGAGGTTTGGGGCAATTTCGTCACGACAGCGTGAACCAAGGCGGCAGGGATTCACAAGAACCCCTGGTTTCAGGAATGGAATGGAAGGAAGAACAGCCACGTTTCAACCAAGGGAAACAAAACCAACCTCAACGCCATCAAGGAATTTTCCGGAAAAACACTACAACAGGAAGGAATATCAAAAACACATCTTCATAACATATCACCAACCACAAATTCTGAATACAAGGCTAGTTGCTACCTATTTGGGGCTGAAATCATCCACCAACGGGTCGCTACTCTGGGAGTGGCTTTCCAGGTTTTTTCCTCTCCATTTCTCATCTTTTTTTTAGCCGCAAAAAAAAAAAAACATGAAAAATCTATCTAATATGAGGTCCCAAAAAAAATCTTCCAGCTCCAAATGAATTTTGCTGGGTACCACCAGGCTGTCAGAAATCCCAATCCCAGGCGCATGGTATGCGGTACCATAGCGCATCCAGACCCATTCGCGATCCTCCAAGTGGTTCACCGGATTTGAGATGAAATCCTGGCCGCACACAGGTCGCACAAGTCGCCCTTAAAAAAAACTTTTGTCAACCAGGACGGGACTTGAACCATGAACTGGATGTTTAACCATCTAATCAGAAAAGTAAGGGGATCTATAGTTAATCATTGTCAATTTTTAATGCAGCTAAGTTGATTTATAACTAAACTGGTGGTGATAATAATGGATATATCTACAGTTGGATCGCTTTTAAAAACCAACAATTACAACTTGGGGGGGCCTGCTTGCAGCGTGTTTGTCGTCGGGTTTTCCTGCAAATTTGCTCTTCATCCAGTTCTGATGTTTTTCAAGGGAAGTTCAGCGAAACAAATCAGAAGTTAAGCAACCAAAATGGCAGTGAATGAGCAACTGATCACTGGTTGGTGGTTTTAACCATCTTGAAAAATGATGGAGTTCGTCAATGGGAAGGATGACATCCCATATATGAAATGGAAAAATAATCCAAATGTTCCAAGCCACCAACCAGATCAGAAATTCCTAGAAATTCCGCCACAAAAATCGCCCCGCGTCCTGCAGTAGGGTGGCCAGGATTAAGGCACTCATCGACATGAAGACCGTTAACAGCACCATTGCCTAACGTCGGCGGGTTCCCTGTTCAGGCGGTTTTTCAAAGAACGAGGTGAAGTCTGGGACCTCTCCCCATGAAAAATCACTTCGATCAGGTTAAATTTTGCTGAATTAACCCATCCAAATTAAGTCAAATCGATGTTAAAATCTCAAAATCTCATTCTTCATGGTGCAATCCCGCATTTTTCCATCTCAGATCTGCTCTCATCTCTGCCCAGTAACCCAGCCCAATGAGGGAAGAAAGCACTGACAGGCTTTCCTGAGACCCAATGGCAGGAGGGAAAAGCTGCTCCTGGACCTGAGATACCTGAGATGATACCTTCGTTGGAGGAAATTGCTAGACAAAGAGGCGAAAAAGTGGCGATAATTGCTCAGAATGGCTTGGAGCCAGCTTTTTTTTACACTGCTTTCGGGGAAAAGCAAATGGAAGAGGATTTGGCTAAGGAAAATGATGGCATGACTTGGAATTAGTTGGAACTAATCGACTTCCATTGGAGTGGATGAGATCTAACTGGAAATCATAGGATTTAAACGAAATTCATGGGATCGAATTGAGTCGATCTAATTAACCGGATTTAACTGGAATTTACGGGGTATTCATTGGAATAAACGGTGTTAACATGTATTAACATGTATTAACATATATTAACATGTATTAACAAAAAAATAAAGGATAGATTCAAATGAATTGATCTTTTCCCTAGGGAAAATGCTGGGATTGATGGGATCTGGTTTACAGATGATGGTCGGGATCCAGCTCGGGGGATTTGAAATGGGGAAATGCGTCACCAGAATTTAAAGGATTGAATTGGCTAACCAAGAACAATAGTTTTTTGTAAACGTTTACCAAAGGGTAAATGCAAATGATCTTAGATGTGATTGCAACTTTAAAATACATCATATGGACAAAAATGAGGCTATCATTTAATACCCTCGATCTGGTTATTTAACATAGCCATGGTATAGATGGCCCATAGAAATGGATGGTTTACCGAACTTAAAAATGGTGATTTTCCATGGCTATGTTAATGTTAAACAACCAGATGGTAGCTAACCAAGAACAATTCTGGGAAAAATGATGAAAATCAACCACAATTGGTGTGGAATTTTCATGATGTGTAATGAATATACAAGCAAAAATATGATTTTGGTTTGTTTGCAAATGATTGGGGTACTGCGGTACGCCCCAAAAAATTACACTGTTGGCGAACACGATGTTTGGCCAATCAATTATTTAGGGGTGCCCTGATTTTGGACAAACCAAATAGAGCCGGTATGGGATACTGGGTGCCTAGGTGCCATCATTTCAATATTTGATTGCGGAAAATGGGGTTGCCCCTCTATTACTACTCAAGAGTGGTGGGAAAAGAGCATTTATTGCCATTTGTTGTTCTCTATGGGAGGCCCATGGCGTTTGCAATATGAGAAAATCGTCAAGCCCCTTCTCTGAGACAATGGGAGGTCTTCAGGATCCTAAAATGGAGGTACCGATTCCATATATAAGGCCTAAAATTCAGGCCTATGTAAGGTAATATCCCCACAAAATATGGCCAAACATATGGTACGTTTACGTACCTCCATCTGTTGGATCCTGGAGATCTCCCATTGATCTCTTGATGTTTCCGGGTTTCCTTGAAAATAGGGCACCCACGATTTACAAACACATCCACCACACGTGGCTGCCAAGGATCACCAACAGCCGCAAGCCCTTGAACAACCTCAAGGTCCTGCAAAGTGACTGGACATGGGGCCTGACATTCTTGGAACAGATTCTCTATGATTCTCTTAGGTATGTATGTCCATTATAATAATTATCAAGGATATCTCTCTCACATATTTGATATACTAATATCATTTAATACTCATATTCATATACTATACATATACATATATATATATGTAACATTAGATAACCCATCATTATTCATGTGTGAATGCTTGGTAGAAAATATAGAAACCCTATGGTTTCCCATAGATTTTCCCAACATCATCAGCCTGTCTCTGCCGGTCCTCACCATACGCATAGCGCGGAAGGCCTTCAGCGCCCGCACCAGGCGCAGCAGCACGATGTTCTTCGGTTCTCCTAGCGATTTTCGGGGGGATTTCCGAATGGGCTGCGCCCCAATAGCTGGTTTAATTCATGAAAAAATCATGAACATAAATGGATCAGAACTGGGGGTGACCCTATTATCCCTGTTTTAGAAAGCCACCAAGTTGCGCCATTCATGTTTTTTCTTAGGGAAAGCGCTGAGTTGTTCCACGAGAACATGAGGAATAGCTCGCGCCTAAAAAAGGCAACGACAGACGATGACCACTTAGGCTTGTTCGGACCATGTAACGCTAAAGCATGCACTCAATCCGCAGCAGTAAGAAGGTTGAAGTTAGGATACCAGCAAACATGGTATTTCATCACCAGCAAAAATGTGGTAAAGTGACATGTTTGACCAGCCAAAAATGTGGTTCAGCAGAAACTGTTCAATGGATTTGAATGGATTTGAACATCATTGGATTGGTTTAAGGGAAAATCTACAGGAAACCATGGATTTTACCATTAAATATGGGGCTTTCCTGTAAATTTTCCCTTAAACCAATCCAATGAGAACAGCGAAAAAATGTGACGATTTTAGGAATTTCACCAGCTCAATTGATCCGCCTCCGAAGCCGTCGCTTTGAATCATGGGGAGGATCACAAACCTTGGATGTGCACTGTGCAAGACGACAGGCTGATCTCTATATATATATAATGTGTGTAATGTATATGTATATTATATGTATAGATATATATTATATATATATACATACCCTATATGTCAGAATATTTTTCCAAGAGGGCATATTCTCAATATTCCCAACATGTGCGAATCCTGGGACAAGGACATCTATGTTCCCAATTCCCATTCCAGTGGACCAAACGAAAATCACCCCGGCCAAGCAACATATCGAACAGGCCAGCAATCACCAGAAAGGCCTCACGCGTGATTCCCAGGCATTCAACGCTTTCCTTAACCTATAGCGACCCCAAAATAGATGCCGAAAAGTGAGAAACCTGGAAATACAAAGCAAATATCATTGATAACATCCTGGAAAACACGGTTCTATCTCTTTAGGGCTTGCTTTTAAGCAACCCTCAAATAGTTTGCGAATAATTGCTTAACAGTAGAATAACTTAATGGCCTGATACGAGCTGATACTTATTGTGGCAACTCCCAAAAAGATGAAGAAGTTGGTTTGGCGATGACTCGTTGGCTGCGACGCCATCATCTACTGTCAAGCCTTAACCCCGGTGATTCAAAAAACATACCCTCTGGTAAACTAACAAAAAACTATTGAAAATGGCCATAGAAATAGTTGAGTTACCCATTAAAAATGATGATTTTCAATAGTTATGTTAAATTATCAGAGGGTAGTACTCACCCAGTGAATCACCCAAGGAATCACCAATCATAAGGGTTTACAAAGGTCCTCTTCACCAACAACCACCAAAAAACGCTGAAGCGTAGAATGCGGACCGTGCGATTGGGAGAAATTTGAGGAGAGCTTAGAATACCAGCTAAGGGCCTTCTTGCAGCGATGAAGTTAGAATGCGAAAACGAGTGATACATTCCAAGCTTCAGTCCTATACCCCCAAAACCCCTCTTGCGGGTGATTTTCATGAAACATTCTAGTCTTGAGTTACCATAAAAAGCCTCACCCATACGTTCAGTTACCGGTCCCAAACGGGTAACTTCCGATGAAATCCAGCTTTAAGGCGACCCCTGGGCTGCGAAAAAATGGGGGGTCACCATTTTGAGTCGGAGATTGGAACACTTTTCAGGCTCGCTCCCTCGGAAAATCACCGAACCGTTGATTCAGGATGTGAATTGACATTCTAGACTCTAGACATTGAAATCTGTTTAAACCTGTACCCACGCAAAAGACAACCTGGTTGGTGGTTTCAATCCCTCTGAAAATATTAGTCAGTTGGGAAGGATTATCCCATATATTATGAAAAAAATAATCCAAATGTTCCAAACCACCAACCAGCACTGGGTTTTTTGGAGGACTCCGGCTGAATTTCCCCCAGATCACCAGCTGGTGCTGGACAAAATGGCGATGGCGCTTTCCCCATCCCACACTCTGCCGCCAAAATGCATCGAACCAAAACCTTGGCACGTCGTTTTCCCAGAACTGGACGCGAAAATCTATAGGAAAGCTCTATGAGACTCTATCAGACTCATGTTCATTCATGGTTTTCCATGGTTTTCCATTGATTTTCCTTCGTTTTCCATGGATTTTCCGTGGTTTTCCACGGATTCTCCGTGGTTTTCCATGGCTTTTCCATAGTCTTCTATGGTTTTTCCATGGTTTTCTTGTGGTTTTCTATGGTTAAAAAAACGCCCGGGCGTTCATCCATTTTCAACCCAAGCAAGCCATCGCTGGCACGAGATAGGATGCGTACCCTGAGCATATCACTATAGAATGTACTATGGATGATCTCGATGTGATAATTTATATCTGGTTGATTCTGGTTGGTGGTTTACCTACCCCTCTGAAAAATGATGGAGTTCGTCAATGGGAAGGATGACATCGCAAATATGAAATGGAAAATATAATTCATGTTTGAAACCACCAACCAGATATGCTAGTGATATGCTAAGGGTACGATTTCACTAAGGGTACATGATAGTGATATACTATAGTTATCATCCATACCAATATGCTCCATGGTGCTGCTATATTTACTACAAAACTGTGCAATTTTTGGGGTAAATGTAGGTAAATATTCCATACATGGAGCATCTGAGTATGGATGATAATTGATATTTCCGGTTGATATAGTACTTGGATAACTCAATGACGATAAAAGGTGGTTGACCATGAACCTTGGTCATATCATACCCTTAGCACAGTACTTGAATGTAACTGATCACAGTATATCACTATTAAGGACTACAGTACTTGAATGTAACTGATCACTGTATATCACTATTAAGGACTACCAACCCGACACGCTCCTCACATCTCCTCACATCTATTTCATGGAAGCCTGCGGGCGCCCCATTTCATGGTCCCCCACGCTCCTTGTCTCCTTTATCGGGCCGTTTTCAGCCCCAAATATGCCTATAATATAGTAAATATAGGTTATATATTTAATATGGTGGTTTCCTAAAATGGGGGTACTCCAAAATTGATGGTTTATAAATTTTATAATGCAAAATCCTGTGGGGGTGGTGGTTGTAGCCACATTTCCTATGCAAAAGTGGAGCGACGGAGATACAAATTGAATTTCATTCCGGGATAGCGTTCAATTGCCAAAAAAAATGGCTTAACTATGGTTGGTTTATGGTCGATATAACTATAGTTAATGGGGGTTATAATGGTTAATGGTTTATACACCAACTTATATATAACTGTTCTGTCCATAAATGTATATATACATGTAGTATGCCCAAATAAACTACCCCCAATTCTGCGTGCAAAATAGCGACACCCAAAAAAAAACGTACTTGGTGGCTAATCCCACTCACCCTACCTGCAGCTGTGGTGAACTAACCCACTCACAAACCATTATATCAATTATATCCCAATATGTCTCCATTATACCATTGTTTTTGATGGTTAAATCATGTTAAATCCCTATTTTAGATCGGTTTAATTACCTATTCCCACTCACTAATTGGGCTGAACCACCAAGCTGTCATTGGGATGATATAGGGGTAAATCTCCAAACAAACATGGGTTTACATGGGTTTACCAAAATGGTTTACTGATGGTTTTGCTGTAAATTTACCAAGACTGAGGCTTTCCAATGAAGTTGAAGTTATTGAAGTTGAAGTTGAAGTTGTAGTTGTTGTAGTTGTTGTTGCTGCTGCTGCTATTGTTGTTGTTGTTGTTGTCGTCGTTGTTGTTGTTGTTGTTGACTCTTTTGCCCCACGATTCCCCAGGACTTCCTGCCCAGCAACGCGATATCATGCAGCACCTTTCGTCGTTCCAGACCGATGCGAATGAGGAGCCTCCAGAGGTCAACGCGCTCGGATGGATCGGGCAGCGGATTTCAATGGAAAAAACGAGGTATCATATCAGGATGGGGCCCCCAAGATAGCTAAGTTGCCTTATGAGTGGCTTAACTATCATTTATGGTAGGGATAACTATTGTTAATGGGGTTTATAAACCACCCTTATAACTGGGGGGGGGCCATCCTGTATATTTGTATGATTTAAATGGTATTATCATGTATTATCACACATTATTTCAGTGAAAACACAAGGATGCTCATGAAACCCAGGGGATTCACAGGGATTGATTATTGGGTTTCATACATTGTAGGGAATTACAGGTGGCCAACACATGCCTGAGATATGGTTGAGTCTCTACTGGAGATGGCATTCACCCTGTAAACATAGAGAGATGTGGAAAAGCAATCATGAATGTAGACCATGTTCCAAAGAATCTTTCCGCGTCCTTGTGTTACTTCGGCCCGGGCATTGCCAATTTCAAAATGTTAAAGCGTCAGAACTTCCCGTTTTTCGGAGAAGATTGATTACCTTATTCTATTCTAAATGCAACGCTACAGCAGTGTTTTAAGGTGATATTAGTTACATATCAGCCCGCATTGGGATTCATCATGACTGATGAACAATCAGGATGCAAGCAGAGTAAGCAAAGAAACTACAGCATGGGTGTAACCAAGAACCATTCAGCTAGAAGCCATGAACCAGGTGTTTTTAGCAAACTCAACCAGGTTTTCATTGTATCTTAGCCAACTAAAGCGGGCTTAGCTCCAAGAATCACCAACGGTGACAGTTAGCGAGCCGTCTTGGTAAAGTCCAATAAAACACATCACGCAACTATGGGGGATGCAATCGGCAACAGATACTTGAAGTACTTGAAGGTGATTTTTAAAAAAAAACAAACAACCCCTGATAATAGGGGGTTCCATTTACAATGTTCCCATGAATTCTGGGAGGGAATCATGTTTGATCGTTTTTTTCGGTAAGATCTGCCCTCCGGGAAATTGAAAATAGCGAGAATGGATGGCCCATTGATGATTTACCTCTATTAGAGTGGCGATGTCTCATGGCTATGTTTCATGTTAAATGACCAGAGGGTAGCGGGTAGCCATTTCAATTGTGTCCTGCTATTTTGGTCAGGTTTACATTACCAACTTCATGAGCGAAGCAAAATGCGTCTCCTTTATGGTAAGCTTGACGTGCGAATTGTTGAACCACCATCAACTCCAAGTTTTGAGCCAAAGGATTTCTTCCCTGAGCCACATGAATAAGAACAACAAGGGCCATATATTTTCATAGATTTTCATAGATGCATAGGATTTCAGATCCAGTGGGTGAAAACTGGGAACCCCTAAAAAATTAGAAGGTCAATTACCTCAGAAATGATCCACGAATCTCTGGTATTTCACTGGTCATTTTGATCCATCCCCAGTTCCCCACTCCGAAAAAAATGTGTGCCCGAAAGGGGGTCGACTCAATCTGTGCACATGTGCTCTTGAATACCCTCTGGTAATTAAACATGTTGCTATTGAACATGGCCATAGAAATAGTGAGTTTTCCCATGAAAAAATCTGGTTATGACTTGATTATCCCACGTAATGCTTATAACATGGCAAAAATCCGGGGCACGGTGCGGGGCAGCGAGGGTGGCACGGTCAGGGGCTGGAGATCAAAAAAGTAGGACATCTGGTGCTTGGGATAGCTCACTAGCGCGGTCTAATGCATGTCACAGCTTGGAGATGATCCCTGGGTAGTGTTGAAGTACATCCTGGCAGAAGTTACTACCCAGGTACTACCCAGGAATCGACCTGACAGTTGCGCCAAGCATTATAGACGCCAAACCGTTTCGGTGACACTTACGATAAGCATTATAATTCTGCAATGCTTAGCATAACTGTTCCAGGATTCCTGGGTAGTACCTGGGCAGTGTCTGGGTAGTCCTGGGAAGTCCTGGGCAATCCTGGGCGGTTCTGGGTTAAGAATCTGATAGCCGAACCCCTTATGGTCAAAGGAACCCAAACTTGGACATTGCAAAAGTCAAATTCTATTTCCACAGCACTTTAGTTCCAGAACCATGAAAGAACATAGAATTAGCGCCCAGGAACCCAGAATTAGCGCCCAGGAACCCAGAATATGATTTTCACGTTATAAGCATTACATGGGTCAATCAAGTTATGACTAACATAGCTATTGAAAATGGCCATAGAAATAGTGGATTTACCCAGCTATAAAATGGTGATTTTCCATGGTTATGTGGCTGTTTACCAGAGGGTAATCTTGAATATTCAGTGGCAGTGGCTCAAATCATTGACCCAATTGCATGATTTTTCGTCATTTGAGTCGTGATTTTTCCGAACGCGAGCCGCAGCCAAGAGGCTCGAAGAGGAAGATGAAGACAAAACAACCTCGCGGAGGATTTGGCTTTTTTATAGTACTTAATGGCTGGTTGGTGGCTTTAACCATCTTGAAAAATATTGTTCAATGGGATTATCCCATATATTATGGAAAATAGTCAAAAAAAACATCCAAATGTTCCAAACCACCAACCAGATCAACCAGTATTGGGCTTTAAGCAACAAAAATATACAAAAATCGCGATAAAAAATGGGATTCAGTGGGATTTAACCAAGAAAGATGCCAAATGATGGGATTTCAAACGGGGTTAGCCCCTGAGAAAAACGTGCCAGTTTGCTGCCTGGAATTCATGTAATATGTTGAACAGGTGCAGTAAATCATCTAACTAAATCATCTATAAATAGTGATTTTGCCCAGCTATATTACCCGAGGGTCTCTTGAATCTTGTGGATTTGCCCCTCAAGAGGGCTCCACCCAAAAAGATAGTAAACATATGACAAAATAATTGGGGAATAAACATATGTGCGATTGATTTCCCGGATTTGGCAAAGAAATAATAAACCATCCCCAAAGCTGGCTGGTATATACGTAGTATAAACCCTCCAAATAATGGATGGTTTGTTATTGCTTTACTAACATTATGGTGGCAAAAAAACGAAATTGACCAATGGTGTTTTTTGTTCATCACCGCTTCCAAGACACCGTCCAGGAATCGGAAGACCGGCTGCCAATCTGACCTGGGATGTCGAGCGGTGGAAGGGAAGCAGCAAGACTTTGAAGCCATGGGCCACGGCCATATGGTTAATGCATGGTTAATGCATGGTTAATGCATGGTTAATGCATGGTTAATGCATGGTTAATGTATGGTTAATGTATGGTTAATGCATGGTTAATGATCATTAATGTATGGTTAATGTATGGTTAATGTATGGTTAATGATGGTTAATGATCATTAATGATGGTTAATGTATGGTTAATGTATGGTTAATGATGGTTAATGATCATTAATGATGGTTAATGTATGGTTAATGATGGGGTTTCCTGAAATGGGGGTACCCTAAAATCCCTAAAATAGATGGTTTACAATGGAAAATGAATGAAAATGAATCTATGAATAGATGATTATCTGATTGAGGGGTACCCCCATTTCAGGAAACCTCCATATATGATACGTATATAGTCATGGTGAATCTTAGATCATCTGTCCAAAAATCGAATCTTCAGCTGGTAGTACATTTTACCATTGATACCAATCGAAAAGATTCGAAAAACACAAACTTTCCCCATTTGTCAATGACCCCGAAGAAATCCCGGTTTAGTAGGGGATTTACTCATACAAGGTGGTGCCCCAGTTCATTAGCTAAGTTGGGGTGAACTAATAACTCCAATTTCACTATGGTAAAAATGGTATATATATCATGATATAGTTGGTTTATAACTCCAATAACTATGGTTTTTGGTAGATATAACTATAGTTAATGGGGTTTTTGTTAACCAACAAACATCACTGAGGGGCACCACCTTGTAGCTGGAACTTCTGTACCTTTGTGTCTTTTGATTTTTTGGGACTCATCGACTCATCATCCCAAAGGCTACCAGCTGCTGGACCCACCATGACCCACCGCTCACCAAATCCCATGGTGAGGGTTACCCGACATAGTAAACATACACAAAACGATGGAAAATCACCATTTTTCATGTGAAAACTCACTATTTCGACTGGGCCGTTTTCAATAGCAAACTGTTAAATTACCAGAGGGTTAGTGTTTCATGACGGCTGAATGCCATTTTTCAACAGTTGGATGAAACCCCTGTGCTTTTCACCTCGCAGAACGCCATCGCCAAGGCACAATTTGGCGGAATCCGTCCGCATGCCCAACCTCGCCACGATGAAGAGGCTAGGTAAAGAGAGGTGTTTTCCCAGCAACTGGGAAAAGGCCGATGTCACGAGCATGTCTTGACCTCCACACTTCTCCAACTGATTGCTTACCATCTGGTTATTTAATGGAAGTTTTAATGGGAAAATCATCTATAAATGGGTTATTTTCCATGGCTATGTTAAATAGCCAGAGGGTATATGGAGTTGATGTGGCTTATTTTAGCCCCCATGAATCTCGACAATTCACTTCTTTATATGACCAAAAACCTCCAATGTCCTTAAATGTGGCTTGAAAATTTGAAAATCCTCTACATAGCTGGCACGGAAAAATCATCATCTAACGGTATAAATGGATGATTTTCCATTGCCGTGTTTGGTTACCAGAGGGTACCCAGTTTGAGATGGTGATTTTTGTATTACCATCCCCTGACATCAGAAACACCCGCTATTCTATGGTCCTAGAATGTCCCATTCTATGTCCCAAATATGGGTGTTGTGGGTTGGGATTTAATACCCTCTGGTGAACTAACATAGCAATGGAAAATGGTGATTTATAGTGGATTTTCCCATGAAAAATGGTGATTTTCCATTGCTATGTTAGTTCACCAGAGGGTATGTCTTTCAAAAAAGTACTGTATTATGTTCTTGTCCCCATCATGTTCCCATTGTTTTTTCGCTTGGTTCCTGTTGCTTATCCCACTATATAATTACATTCCCGCCAACCCCAATAGCCTCTGGTAAACGAACAGTTTGCTATGGAAAATGGATGAACATGGCCATTTATAGTTGATTTACCCATTAAAAATTGTGATTTTCTATAGTTATGTAAACGTTTACCAGACGGTAAAAACTATAAAGATTGACCTCATGATATCGCCATTATCTCCAATCCTACCACATGTTTTGGTGTTTAAATCAGGTTAAATCCACATAAAAATGGAGAATGGTCCATTTGGTTCGGTGATTTACCGGTCAAAACGGTGACTGTTCATAGCAAACTGGCACAAATGACCAAAGGGTATCATTCATCCAACGATTAAGTTGTAGGGGCCCCATATCCCAACTTATGGAGGTTTTAATATTTTTAATCCAGTTATACCCATGATTTCCACCCCAACTGGACCGGACTTTTCTTATTTTGACTTGTTGGATTTCATATGAGCCATGGTCAATACTCACTATATGGTTGATGGTCATCCCATCCATAATAAGGATCCTTATAATGGTTATTATAAATCCCTATGAACCATTGGATGACTAGCCCCTATTAATGGTTATTAACCATGAGTATTGACCATAGCTCATATGATGTTCCAGATCATTTCCGCCAATTTTTCGAGAAGGGGCTCTTTGCCGATCGCTCCGCCTTCGATTTCAAGTTCCAGCAGCATGAGCCTGGGGAATATGCAGGTAACATAGATTCTGGATTTTTAAGGGCTAGAGATTATGATAGCTTATTACAGGTTATTCTCGGTTTTATAGATTGAGAGAAGATGAGAAAAAATAAGATCAAATAATAACAGGATGATATGATATAATGACATAAGATAAGGTATGCAAGTTTAAGATCAGAATGGATTACTCCTCCTCCTTTTACCGTAGCGGAAAAAAAAAATATATTTTTTTCCTTCCACGTTAACTAAAGTGACAATTCGGAGGTTTACTTCCATGTTAGTTGCAAGGGGGGGGGTAAACTGCAAATTTGTGTTCTTTGGATCTGAGCCTTTTTTTTTTGGGCTAGTTCTTTTTGCCACGAGTTCCCCGGGAATCCTGGGCATTTGTTGATTAACGTAGAAATTTTGTTTGTTTCAAGATAAAGCTGGGAATGCCTCCATTTTTTAACAACCAACGATTGGAACGGATAACTTACATAGAAATTTGCTACTTGAAGTAGGATGTGGGCAGTGCCATGTTAGCGAGCGCTCGGTCCTCCTTTTACCGTAGTGCAAAAAAAAAATCTTCCACGTTAACTAAAGTGACAATTCGGAGGTTTACTTCCATGTTAGTTGCAATGGGGGGGGCAAACTGCAAATTTGTGTTCTTTGGATCTGAGCCCTTTTTTTTTTGGCTAGTTCTTTTTGCCACGAGTTCCCCGGGAATCCTGGGCATTTGTTGATTAACGTAGAAATTTTGATTTTTTCAAGATAAAGCTGGGAATGCCTCCATTTTTTAACAACCAACGATTGGAACGGATAACTTACATAGAAATTTGCTACTTGAAGTCGGATGTGGGAAGTACCATGTTAGCGAGCACCAATTTGGCACCATTGATTTCGAAAGGTTGCATCCTCAATCGCTCGGACATGACAGGGGTGAGAAGATAGATGCAAAGAAGAAAAAATGATGTGGCGGTCAGTCTGTGGGGTTTAGGGATCGCCCTAGAAGGATGTATTCAACATCAGGGGGGAACATGTTAACATAGAAGTTGCCAACCTGATGTCTGGACCCTCAAGTTACTTCCACGTAAGGGTTTTTAGTCTCAGTTTTCACACTTCCATGATGAATATGTTACTGACATATCTGATGAGCTACTTCCATGTAAGAGATTCACGGTCAGTTTTTCTGCATTTGCTGGCCCGGTAGCCCAGTTTCACTTTTTCCCCAGGAATTGGACGTAAACGACTTCCATGTAAACCGACAGGTTTTTCCGTCCTGACTTCCACGGTAAAAGGACCCGGTGTAGATATGTAGATTTATTTTTAGACAAAAAAATATATGTATAGGCTAGGGGTGCTCGTTTGCATTTGAATACTGTAAATGCATCCATGTTTTCTCAAGTATAGGCAGTATAGGTGTACATTGGTCCCTCATGCTGTCTTCCAACCATGGTCTTGGCTCGATCTGAAGCAAGCCTAGGCCCTAAGGCCACTCAACGCGGAATCCAGAGAATTTGTTCTTTATTTGAGCTGGTGTCAATTAAATATTCTACAAGTATAACATGTCTAATATGTATGTATGTATATATATGTGTGTATATATATATATATATTATATATTATATATATATATTGTATATCGGTTTTAGGGTCGTCCATCCCATCATTTGTGCATCCAAAGAAAAATGGCGACTTTTGATGACCATCCCCCAAGATTGATCTCCCATTTTTGTGGTGCCCCTCGTGGTCCTCCGGCGATCGTCTTCTCACAGAAAATTTTCTCCGCCGATCACTTGGTTTTTTCCAGAGATTGATGATATCAAACATCAAATAATAGCCACCTCAAAGCCAATAGGGAACTTAGGGAACCTAGAAAGTTACGTTTTAAAATTCATGAAATGGCAGCCTCATTTTTTCATATTTTTTCCATCAAAGTATATTTTTTAGTTACAATCACTGTTCAGATCATTTGCAGAAGCAACTTCCAAAAACAAAAAGGCAAACCTTACCCTCTGGTAAACTAACATAGCTATGGAAAATCACCATTTAGAGTGAGTTTTCCCAGCTACAAAATGGTGGATCTTTCCAGTTCGCTATTTTGACATAACCAAGGCGCATGGAGTTGAGCAACACCAGAATTCCAGCGGTGTAGTTGATCGCAGCTTCCTGGGGGTCGGAGTTAACTCTCTCAGCAAATTGAGATGGAAAATTTGTTTGGTTAGTTGGGAAAAAAAAACTTGTTAAACAGATTTTTTTTAACACATTCAATGGATTCTTCAATTTAGTTGGTGATTTTATGATGGTTTTTGACCACATTCACCGATTTTGATATGGGTCTTGTGAAAATTTAGGTCCAAATCGATTGGTGAATCATAATTTTACATGTAAAATTAACGTGAAAATTGGTGGGGAGCCGGACAGGAACTAGAGTAGCACTAAATATATATATATATAGAATCTATAGGCTACATCGGCTAGATTGGCAATCAAAGTTTGCAAGGAGCTCAGCCGATTGAGTTGGTCTACGTGAACTGTGGGAACTATGGTGATGTGATGTGGATATTGGATGGGTGAAACGAAATCAACGACTTGTACTTGAGAGGGGGGGGACGAAAGGTAGGGGGGGGAAGACAGGAGGGAGAGGCAAGAGAAGGTGCGACTGTTTGTAACGCAAGCACGCCGACGACGACGACGACTACTACTACTACGACTACTACTACTATGACGACTACTACTACTATGACGACTACTACTACCACTACTACTACTACTACTACTACTACTACTATGAGGACTACTACTACTACTACTACTACTACGAGGACTACTACTACTACTATGAGGACTACTACTACTACTATGAGGACTACTACTACTACTACTACTACTGCTGCTACTACTACTACTACTACTACTATGAGGACTACTACTACTACTATGAGGACTACTACTACTACTATGAAGACTACTACTACTACTACTACTACTACTACGACTACTACTACTATGACGACTACTACTACCACTAATACCACTAATACTACTACTACTACTAGTACTACTACTACTACTACTGCTGCTACTACTACTACTACTACTACTATGAGGACTACTACTACTACTATGAGGACTACTACTACTACTTTGAGGACTACTACTACTACTACTGCTGCTGCTGCTGCTACTGCTACTGCTACTGCTACTACTATTACTATTACTATTACTATTACTATTACTATTACTATTACTTCTACTACTACGACTGCTACTACTACTACTACTCCTACTACTACTACTCCTAGCACTACCACTACCACTACCACTACCACTACCACTACCACTACCACTACCACTACCACTACTACTACTACTACTACGACTACTACGCCCAGGCCCCTTAAACTTTACATTCAATTGGGAAGATCAACAAGGGTATTAGGGAATATTAAACTCCCACCCCCCTTAAACTTTACATTCAATTGGGAAGGTCAACAAGGGTATTAGGGAATATTAAACTCCCACCCCCGTTAAACCTAGCATTCAATTGGGAAGATCAACAAGGGTATTAGGGAATATTAAACTCCCACCCCGGTTAAACTTTACATTCAATTGGGAAGATCAACAAGCGGATTCATGACTTCGTGGAAATTGCGTTGAAGAGTTTGCCGATTTCTAACGTTAGATGTATAAGGTAGGCATTTTGGACAAGAATCGGTTGGGAAGAAACTTTTGGAGTTTGAAAAGCTCACCCAAGCAGCTGGAATGTTTGTGTGCTTGTTGTTGGTGAATCGTTATTCTTGTAGGTATACCGTGTTGTCAGCATGCGGACTCGTTGGACGGGCCTCCAGGGAGTCGACTGAGCTAGTTGTTGACGCTGTGGAGGCGCTTCCGCCACGTCTACATAAAAGTATCGTTTTTTGTTCTGTACAATGACGTTCCGAACTCCGAATACGTGGACCCGGTGGAGGGGCCTCCAAAGGGTCAACCAAGTGAGGGGTTGACTCTGTGGAGGCTCTCCCACCGGGTCCACAGAAACTATTGTTTTTGGTTAGGTGTTGACTTTGTGATTTCTAGCAAGTTTACATAAAGTCCAACCGGGTCCACAGAAACTAATGTTTTTGGTTAGTTGTTGACCTTGTGATTTCTAATAAGTATACATAAAATATCGTTTTTTGTTCTGTACAATTACGTTCCGAACTCCGAATAGGTGGGCCCGGTGGAGGGGCCTCCAGAGGGTCAACCAAGTGAGGGGTTGACTCTGTGGAGGCTCTCCCACCGGGTCCACAGAAACTATTGTTTTTGGTTAGTTGTTGACTTTGTGATTTCTAGCAAGTTTACATAAAGTCCAACCGGGTCCACAGAAACTAATGTTTTTGGTTAGTTGTTGACCTTGTGATTTCTACTAAGTATACATAAAGTAACGTTTTTTGTTCTGTACAAGTACGTTCCGAACTCCGAATACGTGGACCCGGTGGAGGGGCCTCCAGAGGGTCAACCAAGTTAGGGGTTGACTCTGTGGAGGTTCTCCCACTAACAAGGGTATTAGGGAATATTAAACTCCCACCCCGGTTAAACTTTACATTGAATTGGGAAGATCAACGAGCGTATTAGGGAATATTAAACTCCCCCCCCCGTTAAACTTTGCATTCAATTGGGAAGATCAACAAATGTATTAGGGTATATTAAACTCCCACCCCCGTTAAACTTTACATTCAATTGCGAAGATCAACAAGGGTATTAGGGAATATTAAACTCCCATCCCTGTTAAACTTTGCATTCAATTGGGAAGATCAACAAGGGTATTAGGGAATAGTAAACTCCCACCCCCGTTAAACTTTACAGTCAATTGGGATGTTGATGATGTTGATGATGTTGATGTTGTTGCTGATGATGCTGATGATGATGATGATGATGTTGATGAAATGAGGGAAAAATTCGTCATCCGTTTGCACAAACGAACGACACGGGGAATCTCACAAAACATTGGCCCTGCGCAGTCAAAACGCACTTTCCCGGGCAGCACATCCGTCCTGGCCGTAGTACTACTACTACTACTACTACTACTACTACTACTACTACTACTTTTACCACTACTACTACTACTACTTTTACTACTACTACTACTACGACGACGACGACGACGACGACGACTACGACTACGACTACTACTACTATCATTCGTATGGCACCTATCTCACTAGAATTTACCAAAGAACAGAAAACATCATTTTTTCGGGGTTGCGCTTTATCTCGCCTCGATGAAGCACAACCAAGTGCTTGGGAGCACAACCAAAGTCATTTATCGCACAAACATGAGCTTGGTTGCGCCCCCAAACGCTGGGTTGCGCTTCATCTCGCCTCGATGAAGCACAACCTTGGAAAATGATATTTTTTTAATCTTCTTTGGTAAATTTATGTCATCCAGACCGTAGCATATTCTAACTTCGCGAAAAACGCGAAAAAAGCGAAAAAAGTATCAACGTCGGAAAAGCGAAAAAGCAAAGCAGCAAAATCTAAAAAACACAAAAGCAGAATAAAAGGAGAAAAAAGAAAGGAAAAACACGGAGAGGCTCAAAGGGAAAAATGAAACAAGAGTTACATTTTTTGTTTTTTCACGCTTTCTTTCAAGTTTTTCGACAGGCAAAATAATCTATGGTCTGGAAGACATAAATTTACCAAAGAAGATTAAAAAAATATCATTTTCCAAGGTTGTGCTTCATCGAGGGGAGATGAAGCGCAACCCAGCGTTTGGGGGCGCAACCAAGCTCATTTTTGTGCGATAAATGACTTTGGTTGTGCTCCCAAGCACTTGGTTGTGCTTCATCGAGGCGAGATGAAGCGCAACCCCGAAAAAATGATGTTTTATGTTCTTTGGTAAATTCTAGTGAGATAGGTGCCATGCGAATGATATGAATAGGGGTCAGCATGATGTTAACGTTTATGTTCATCGTGGCACACCCAGTGGCGAAATGCTTTGATCCAAACATATCCGACGGCGACATGATGACATGATACACTCCACTACACCACACTACATTTCACTACTCTACATTGCACTGAATGACACTGCACCACAAATAGACAGGTAGACAGATAGACAGATAGACAGATAAACAGACAGACAGATAGATAGATAGATAGACAGACAGATAGCCAGGTAGACAGATAGATAGATGAAAGAGAGAGAGAGATATAGATAGATAGATAGATAGATAGATAAATAGATAGATAAATAGATAGATAGAGGGAGTTTTGAGCGATAGATGGGTGGAGAGATAGAGAGATAGATAGATAGATAGAAAGATAGATAGATAGAAAGATAGATAGATAGAAAGATAGATAGATAGATAGGTAGATAGATAGACAGACAGATAGATAGATAGATGGCTAGATAGATTGATAGATAGATAGATAGGTAGATAGATAGGTAGGTAGAAAGACAGATAGACAGATAGACAGGTAGACAAATAGATAGATCGATGGATGGATAGATAGATAGATAGATCGATAGAAAGATAGATAGATCGATAGATAGATAGATAGATAGATAAATATATAGATAGAGAGATAGATAGATAGGTAGATAAATAGATATATATGTATAGATAGATAGATCGATAGATAGATAGAAGGATAGATAGGTAGGTAGGTAGGTAGATAGATAGATAGATAAATAGATAGATAGATCAACATATAGATAGAGAGATAGATAGATAGATAAATAGATAGATAGATATATATATATAGATAGATAGATCGATAGATAGATAGATCGATAGATAGATTAGATAGATTAGATAGATTAGATAGATAGATTAGATAGATTAGATAGATTAGATAGATTAGATAGATTAGATAGATTAGATAGATTAGATAGATTAGATAGATTAGATATATTAGATAGATTAGATAGATTAGATAGATTAGATAGATTAGATAGATTAGATAGATTAGATAGATTAGATAGATTAGATAGATTAGATAGATTAGATAGATTAGATAGATTAGATAGATTAGATAGATTAGATAGATTAGATAGATTAGATAGATTAGATAGATTAGATAGGAATGATAGATAGATAGGAATGATAGATAGATAGGAATAGATAGATAGATAGGAATGATAGATAGATAGGAATGATAGATAGATAGGAATGATAGATAGA